ATAAATAAGTTCTGTATGAATAAATGAATGATTTGCTAATTAAAATAATATAATCGATTAAATATTGGTGGTCGATTCGGAAATCTCATACCATAAATATATAAAAATTATATATATTATTATATACTCACTCAAAAATGTATTTTGATGATCAATACTGATACCAATAATGATAACATGAAATAATATTCAATATTTTCTAAATTTGAAAATATTAATATAGGTCTATTGTTAGTGAATTTTTAAAAAAGCGTGGTCATTGCATATACTTTTTTTACAGCAATCATGAATGGATGTGATGGTGCTTGAAAAATAAATATTACAATACAATATATGTATGTACTTCAATTATATTTGAAGTACAGACAATAAATAGTGCACAATAATTTAGTTTAATAAACTAACCAAATATAAATCCATAATTATATTCGTCTTCATTCAATTTCATGTAATTATTAGATACACAATTATGTGGAAATAACTTCACTGCTAAAGTTTTCCATACTTGTTCACCCGGTCTTACCCATTAAATTAGCATTTTGCTTAATGTTGATTGCACTTGCAAATGTAGGTTAATTAAACTAGTCAGATTATAAGGCGAAAGTAAAAAAAGTTGCTGTAAGCCTAAAACTTGGCATGGTTGTTAGTTGAGTTAAAATGCCTTTGTAAAAAAATGCTTTAAAAAGGACTTTAAAAACATAAACTAAAATCCATTTTCCCAAAATATTTTAAAACTATCCAATGAATAAAAAATATTGAAAGGAGAACTCAACTGATGTGTAGAAAAAGAGTACATAATCTTTAAAAGTACAATTTAGAATTTTTATAATCTTTTCGTTTCTTGCCCTCTTATCCATTCATGAATGATGAAATGAAAGCTTTGTTGAAATTGGAATATCCATGTAGTTATAAATAAATATAGATTAAATTAATACCTCATTGATCTCGTCTTATTGCTATGCAGTGATGCTGCAAGCAAAAACATATCTAATCAGTATTATTTAAAGAGCTCGGTATGCTGCCTTAGTTGTTTTAATGTAAGCTATTTGTAATACAATATTTATAGATTTTAGGAGAAATATTTTATATTTTAATATTTACTTGTAAGTGGATATTTTTTACTATTTTAGATATATCCACATGGTGCTTATAAAAAGTTTATATCGCTTAAAATGTACCTACCTACTTAAAATATTATTTAAGCAATCACGTAAAATTTTTTACGAATAATTGTAATTCAAGTACCTGATCGTCAGAGACCATTTCTGGTGTAATGTACTAACATATAAAGGAAATACTGCGTACAAAAATCATGCCCCAAAAGCAAAGAAAAAGTAAGAAAATATTTTCTCTCCATTTGTTTTCTATTACTAACTATCTACTACGTAAGACAGATGTTGCAATTTGAACATTAAATTGCAATGTGAACTTATTCCAGTTCATAAAATTTCAGAAATTTTTATTATCTTGCTTTGTTGTTGGCATCGGGGTCGATAAATAAAATCACTGTAAAACTTTCAAAAACATATTGAAGCAATTTTGCTTTGTTCAGTTATAATTTTAATAATTTGCTCTTTAAGAAAAAAAAAGTATGTCTACAATATCTATAATAAATTTCAAATAGATAGCGCTTTCTAAGATATATAATAGACGAACGGATGAATAAATAATGATGAACAAAGTGAATGTAGAACAATTGAATACCAAACTTATGTTTCTGTTCATACTGAATATAAAAGGCATTTACACCGCGAGTAACAATGATTAACGATAACGATTTCAGTGTGCGGTGTTTCCTCTATTATTTTAGTACATAATATCTAAATATTTTATGCTTAATTCACCAAAAAGAGATTAGTTATTATTAAGCCATTCAAATAGCTCCGGATCGAGGTCTTGCTAGCGCTCATTACAAACGGATTTTTACCCGTTTATTTATTTTACGTTGTTTACATTTTATATAATGCTAAAACTGTTGTTCTCTTAGTTCTATAAGATTTCTCTGATATGCTCAAATTCGTTCCTATGCGGTACGGTGCCTGGATAATCTGTAATTTAATCTGGAGTTGCGTAAATGGCGCCGTGATATATATGCTGTAGATATTTATCGAAATGAATATTATATTAGGCTAAGCCTGTGGCAGATTTACACATTAGTCGCCAGTAGGCTATCCATATTTTGAAATTCCAAGGCCTCTACCGACCTCTACAATTCCATAATCTAGGTTACAATCATATTAATTAATTTTTTTTTGTCAATGACAACATGATTCGACAAAAACAAATTGGCTCTAAATTTGCTGCCTTAGGTTCTAGCGCCCTAGGTTCTAGTCTACTCAGTCCGCTTGTGTAAATCTGCCACTGGGCTGAGTTAATTGATAGAACGGTTTCTGACCGAGTATTCTCACCGTTGATTTAAAAGAAAAACTGAATAATGCATATGCTATTGCGTATGGATTATGTAGATTATGTGTAGACGATTACAGCATCGATATAAAATGATGAAAAGTACAAAAAATATTTTTATATTTTAAGTTTCTCTTAGTGGAGGCTAGTTGTTCAGTTTTATGAACACTTCTATATGGTTATGGTCTAGATTATAATACTCATTCCATATAAATGTGTCTTAAAACCACTTATTTTGAATATTGAACAATTTTTGTTGCACTAAACACAGTGCACTGTCATTACAAATATTATCAGCATACATATCTCTTTTTTGATCATTATTTCTACATACTATCGAGATACAACCATCTCATGTTTTTATATATTTTAATAAAAGTTACAATATCAACTGAGTTATGTTTTGTAAAAATAAAAATGAAGTTGGTTTTGAGACACTAAATGTATTACAAGTGTCATTAAAATGCCAAAGTTAAATGTGTTTGAAAATTTTATAAGACTGAACCTATAAGTATCTTTTGTATTACTTACATTATAACACTAGCAAAGTGTAGATTTTGAAAATATGTATCATCGAGTCCTCATATTGTAAACTGCTGCGATTATATTTATTAAACAAAATAAATAATAATGCCATATAACTTATTTTATTTGATAAATCGGTTTTATGTATTAATAAGTAGCAAACTAATGATCATAATAGTATTGTTATTATTACAAGCTTTGCGAATTTTATATTTACCTTGGTTTATTGTTATACAGCAATAATTATATAGTAATAGCGTTCATAACTTTAAATATGACAATCGATGCAATTATCTGTCAATTTTGATAAACAAACGAAGTATTTTCAATATTTTTGACTGCATATTTAAAAAAGTGCTCTGTCTACGAATTAATTTTATTATGCAATCTCTGAAAATATTGATTTCGAAATTGATAAAATTATTAAAAAAAAAATTTAATCAAATATGAAATAGATGTTTAAGTTTTTGGTGGTAGATTTATATGCAACGTATTCTACATTTAAATAATCTGAAAGATTAAAAATTCTTCAATAGCATTTGAAAATTGTCAGATAATTGCAACGTTCTTATACCTGCTTAGTTATGAGTGCTCTTAAAGTAATCCTGCTCAAAGCATGACTAACTCCATTAAAATTCCTTGCAGTTAGAATTATTTCCTAATTTTAGAGGGATTCGACGGCGAGACTTCAGGAAAATGTGAAAAATTATTAAGTTAAAAAGTCAAAATATACCTATTTTAGCTATTGGAATGTTGATTATTTTCTTTTGTGCTAAATTCAACGTCTTAAAGAATGTGATAAAACATTTCGATACCTAAAATAGGTTGTAGTTTTTATGGATAACTCGGTAAGTATTTTTTACATTAAATATATAATTTAATGCTGGCGTTAGTGGTAAGTGTTGTATATTCACAAAAAATCTAATGTATGTAATATCAACTAGTGGTATACGATTTTAGATCATTTTATATTACAATTTGAATGCCTTAGCTGATATATCACACAGGGTATACAGATTTTAATATGATTAATTCAAAAAACACAACACGGAATCATCTATTAACTGTAATCGCTGAGCTAAGTAAAATGTATACACAAATTTTACTACTGCCCAAGCGATGTAGTATTTTTTAATGCGATGATAATGCAATGGTAAATTTAATTGCGCTATCGTTATACGCTCAATTTGTACATACCAGTTAGATGATGATGACCCATCGTGCTGAGTTCATAAGGAATTAACCCCGATGGTTTCCAGGGGTAAATACATGGATATCCCTTTATAATATTTATTTATTTGTTACAACTTATAATAAGAGTTTGCAAACAGAAATATATATATCATAAAATAAAAGATAATACTAAAATGTTAATTTACGCAGTTTGCTAACCTAGCATTGTAAACATGATTGTAGGTTAAAAGTAAACGTTATAATGCTTTTACAAATATATATTTTTTTAAACTTGATCGAATCTTTCACTTATTGACGCATCTGATGAATACAATTATTTTATGAATACTGAACAGTCGAGGATGTCTAATAGAGTGTTAACATACAATCAAGTTCAGAGTTCAGATTATTGATAAACCATTCGCAATTTTAGAAAGCAAGCGCAATTCGCAAATGCTTCGCCTCAATGCTGAAGTTATGGAATCTGAAATACTTCATGCGTTTCTCATAATCACATAAATTTTATTTTAGATAAAATTTTCTTATAATATAACGTAGGAAACTAGTTTTTACTGATTCGATTCTATGTATATTGACCTTACAAAAGGAGACCAAACTGATGCACATTATTCTAAATGACTCCGAACGAGAGTTTCATACAATATAATAAATGCTTTTTTAATAGTTTTAGATTTAAATATTACTAAAACAGCATTAGCTAATAGTTCAATTCACATATACCACAGTTGTGCGAATTACAAAACAAAGCCTTTTTTGTAAAAGTATCATAATGTAATTGAGAATGTATTGTTAAACTAAACTGCGAGCTCCTATTATATAATACGATTTCATTTGCATATTTGAATACAATTTTTAATAATTTTTATGCCCTGTAGTTACAGAATACATAGAAAAGCTACTAAGAGATGCTGGGACAAGAACACTACTACAAGCAAGCTATGCTTGTTACATAGGGCACTAGTCGCTCGTCATTTATCCGGTGTGGTGGAGTAATCCGGTTTACGACGCTCGCTTACGCTGTGCCACAACTAAGGGTTACGAAAAATTAACTTTTTTTTCATTATCCTAAATAAGTAATTATATAATATTACTTGATTATAATAATATATTTAGGTATATATGTTTATCGCGTAGAAACACGACACAACCTATCTTCACTTATGTGTTGGTACGTAGTATTGCTGCTAAAGTATTTTAAAGATGCTGAAGAGTTTTTAAATTAATTACATAAATAAACATAGTGAAAGATGTAGATTTAGATTGAACGTAGACGTAGTTGCACATGGATGAATTTTAAATTTTTGTAAGGGCATAACCCTTACAAAAATTAAAATTTTCTATAAACCCAGTTTAATTAGGTATTAATGTTTTATTTTGCGTTAGACAGATTGATCAAATTGATGCAAAAAGGCTCATCAAATTATTACAAAAGGTACCTAGTCACTAAAGTTCTATCTTTTTTAATGATTCAAAAAGTTGGCTCTATTTGGGTTATATTATAAAAAAAATTGTGGCAACCCCATACTTATTTATCAGCACATTAAAAAAGTGCAATATTTGTTGTAGTTTTCGACTTATATAATAGAAAATAATAAAAATAATAGAAAAAATAATAGAATCTTTGGATAAATCTTTGTAGGAAATTCTGTTAGTAACGGAACAAGTAATGTTATATAAATTAGTACAACAGTCGAGTGCATCAAATCTATAATAATTTTGACAGTTACATTACTTTTTATGTCACAGATTCTTATAAAATAATTTTAACAAAGAGTAACAAGACTAAAAATTTAATCACAATATATACAGATGTAATATAAAATAGACGGAAAATAAATTACTATTCATAAAAACAATATTTTCTATATAAAATTTAAAAAATTTGCAAGTAATAGCTTTATGTTTATGAAATTGAAATCATTTATTTGCTGGAATAAGATACATTTTTATAGGTGTTACTTTACAACAAAAATAGGCCAATCTTATTCTGCCACACTGTAGGCGTGCAAATATAAAAACTTATTAAACAAAAATAAAAATAATTTCATCATATATGTTTATCATATGTTTGAGCTTAACAGATAATGCGACTGTAGCAAAAAATTATAGTTAAATGTTAACTGTCAAAAATTATAGTTATCTGTTAAATGTTGAAATATTACAAATTTGAACTTAACTACTAATTTAAAAACTGACGTTAATAAATTTTGATGCACATGGCTGTTAGGCTAAGCTAAATAATTAAGAGATCGTTCTTACTAAGAATTGAAACTTTAAGATCTTTGTCAAATTTTCTCATATAAGGTATTCTGATAATATATATTCAATAATTAAGTTACAATTGTGTGTTGTTTACTATTAACAAGACATTGTTATCATTTTAAAACAATTTACATGAAAGTACCCCAAGGGTTAAATTTAGGGCCTTTACCATTTACACTGTTTTTTTGTTAATATTGGTGCACATTTTAATTATTATAATTTCTTAATTTTAAAGCTAATTAAAAATACATAACTGCGTAGATGGTTGTACTAAATTTTAAGATGATTTTAATTTTTATATAGGTATGTTGTCGGCAATCTGTATAATCTGGTATTATGTAGAATACCTAGACAATGCGTAGAATACTGAATGGTTTAGACAAAATGTAGGAAATATTATGTACTTTGTCTATGTATTTTATACAAAATCTTTATCCTGCCGGTAAAGTGTGTACAAGACTAAAGCAGGGAATGGTTCAACAGTATAGACAATTAAATGAAAAACGTGAAATGAAAAAATGAAAAACAGTCAAGAAGTCAAATTCAATATTATATCCCGAGTTATTAAGTATATAAGTATTTTGATATTTCCTGTGAATACTTTAAATAACTATTAATATAATCTAACATAACCTGAAGATAAATATTTTTGATTGAAATAATTATTAACAATACCAGCAGTTATTTTATACAATCCGTGAGTATTTTTTTTATTGGATGAAAATGGAGTGGCAACCCTGCCTGCGCTAATGGGATACGCTGGCGGGGCACCAGTGAAGGGTGATCGATGAGGATGAAAATAGGCCAGTTAGCCCATCATGATGAATTCATCAGGAATTAATCATGATAGTTTCCAGAACCGCGAGGAGGTCGACCTGGTTGGGTATATTGCTAGCAATGGGATTCTTAGTCTCCATTACTAACAATCCCTTTTTCCTCCAAATCCGTGAGTATTGTTCATAGGTAATAATATTAGTAACATTTCATACATTACAAGGACACGATATACATGGACACGTCAGGTATTCTATACATTGCCTAGGTATTTTATGGAATACCTAAGTTATAGAGATTGTCGGTAACATATAACGATGCCCTGATTACAATATTCTACATACATTTCTAACATATCTATTGAATATACTGTGATACATGATACAATGCCTTATACAAACAATATGAAAATAACAATGACAAGAGATCTCTAACGTTGCGAATTAAAGTAAGGACCTCTTAAATTATTGCTCAGCGAAAATATTATGGTTGTAATGATTAGTATTGTGATTGTTGTGTGCAAAGCGGAACGCTGCGCGTTTGGCGAAGGTAACATTTTTCATATACCTCTAGCCCAGTATTGGTTAATTTACATTTTATTTTATATTTCTTTCAGCTTTCGGGGCAATGACGTCTATGCAACTATTATTGTATAGGATTATAAAGAGTAAACACAATACACAGTGAAGTTGGCTTTGAATATTTCACATGTCACATGCGAAATTTCATATGCTGCGCTAAATCATACGTCAAACCAGCTTCAAGGTCACTTCACAAAAAAAGATGTTGCTGCGTTCAGATTAATTCGTGAGGTATTGGCTACGTTTTTTCGCAGCAAACAACAAATAGCGAGTTCGACGTTAAGTTATAATGGTGATTTTTGTGATTGGTTACTGGCGATATCACTATATAAAAATAATGATTTCAAAAAAGTTAATTAAATATAATAATTATGCCCGATGTCGATGGTCAACGAATTCATCGCCCAGAATGCACATGTAATGAATTAATAGTTTAAGAGACTGTTCAGGAAACTACATTCGTACAACGTAGTCTGAAATGGAATTCGAGATCAAAAATGTTTACAAAAGAATTGCCGTGCCGAAAAAATAAATTACTTTATATATAGTCATAAATATGAAATCGTGTTGCAATTCTATGCATATATCGAACATATAATACGAAATCTTTTATTTAGAATATTTTTTTAAATATTACGCAATACAAGATTAACTTATACTTTTTTTTTTTAAAGTAAAATCTGTAATACAGCACTTTAAAACATTTGTCATATAACATTCTTTCTACATATTTTTTTTTATTTGGATACTAACAGATCCAAATAAAAAATATTCGTAATGATACCACAGAGATGATATAATTGTGTTATATAATATAGAGAGAAAAACTATATGCCAAGTTGACCAATCGGTAACGGATTAGTCCTATTAATATGTTAAAAGCGAAAGTATATGTGGATCGATGCATAGATGGATGTTTGTTACTCTTTCAAGTAAAAATTATTAAAAGGGTTTGAATGATATTTAGTACACAGGTAGCATATAGGATTATTTATGTATTCATTTACGCGACTAAAGCAGTTGAATATAGCTGTTACTAAATATACACTCAAATAAAATAGAGTATTATCTATCGTTGTGTGTATATCAATTCCAGAAGATTAAAATTCAAAATAATTACAATTAATTGTATTATCGGAATAGACTAAAAAATAGATACCCTTATCAAATGTGCTTAATAGGTACACTCATAAAAAAACAGCACGTATGACATTGCGGCCAAAGAATAAAGTTTAAAAATTTAATGTAATGTTTAAATTGTCTATAAAAATGTTGACAATCACTGAGAGGTTACATTAATAATCACATTTCTTTATTTGCATTTTTGATCTCCTTTTCAGACTAATTTCTATGACATATTAATATTTTGTTGGTATGTAAAAATTAAATGTAGTGGTACTTTCATATTTATCGACTAAGTACATTTAATTTATATATACATATTGTATGTATAAAAAGCAATTGAGTAAAGTAAATAGGTGATCGAAAGTATTGTAGAAAGAAATAGATGTCGTTCTGTATAATCTATATATGACACCAGAAGGCGCCGTGATCATATAAATATTAGTAGTATTTGGGGGCATCTATAAATTTATATATATAGGATAGGTTTTGTGAATTGTTGGTATAGGGAAAAAATGTCGTCCACTTGTTACAGGCATGCCATGGCATGGCAATAGGCATTGACATTCTCTATACGTCATTAAATAAGAGTTTTACATAGGAAGAGGTACTATGCAAAATCTATGGGGTTTTACTTGCGATTGCCATTTCTTTTTAAACGAAATTTATTCTATGGAACAAATTAGATTAAAATGAACCTGAAAACAAAAATCTGAATAATTTTTTGGTTATTGTCAATAAATAACTTTGGTTTATTAATGAAAAACTTAGTTGATTATTATTAAAAATAAATTGATCAAAACTTTGGTACATTATACACGTGTTATATAGAATGATATCTATTTATTTCTACAATGTTTACGATATAGTTTAAGCAAAATTCTATGATTTATGAATGATTTCGTGATGTATGTACTTAGCTCTGTCGCTATTATACATTACCTACTAGTACATTTTAATATTTTGCAAGTATTTAATTATATTGTTGAAGATGGAATTGTGCACTCTTCTATGTTAACGGTATACAAAGGCTTGACGAATTCACTGAGAATTAACCACGATGGTATCCAGGGACGATAGCGTGAAGGTCGATTTGAGAAGATATATTGCTAGCGAAGGCGATGCTAATTCCCATTGCCCACATTTTGGTGAAAAAAGTGATATGAGTATCAAGTGCAAACTGACGACATATAGTGCGCAGACGAAATATTGTGTAATGAACTCATCTAAATGTATAAATTACTTGTAAGTTACATAATACTTAGTAGTGATAATTCAATGCTTCAACTTAATGTTATAATAATAACAATGTCAAACAGCAAGATTATTATTTACAAATATTTCATCATCACTGTAATATAACTAGATCGACTTTAAATATCGATTTTATTTTCTGTTTTACTGTGTTTTATACATATTGACATATTGAATTTTTCCGGTAACTCGTGCGGCATTGTATTTTTTTTAGAAATGTACATTTTTAATTGTGCTTTTTAATTATGCTTTTTAAATTTGCTGACTTGTAATATTATTATTTCGCTTTAATCTTTATTTAGATTATTTAAGATCTGTATGCATATAGTATATAGTATGATATAGTTTTTAAAAATTTAATATAATTACTTAAACAATCGTATCGCTAGGGTCCCGTAGTCAGTGGTTAAAAGGGAAGCTTTATAGGTAATTTTCATACATACATTTAAATTATATAATATGGAAAACTCATAAGAATTCATCTGATGTTATTAAAACAGGTCTCAGCGATAATGTTCTAACAATTGTTCATCCATGTAATATTACCCGATACAGGCCTAAAAAAGATTATAAATAGGAATATTTACCTCTAGGCTCTTCCAACTATGTACAGATATATGTAGTAAAAATTGCAACTCATACCTACTTGTTCTAGTCAACAGTAAAGTAAATATTTGTAGAAACATGAGCAGCCGATTAAAACTTATATATAATTCAACTACGGGATCCTAATAAAGCGACTCTAATTTTATTTAGTTTTTAATGTCCTTATATAAAATTACTATGTAAGATAAAGTTTTGAGGAGTTTACGATACTAGAACTATGTGGAAATTTTCTAAGAAAACATGTTGATTATAATTATCTCTGTGGAGTATTTGTACTTTTTTTTATTAACCTATATCTTTTCAGGCATACTTAAACTTATTGGATATGAGTGAAACTTATGTCAGTTATTATTTAAAAGACTAAAATATACAATAACAAATAAATCACTTTTTAGAACCGTTCCAAATATTGAAAACTAGAAATACATAAACAGTGTTATGAGTTTTTAGAAATTGTGCCCATTAGGGCATATTTTACAACTGAAAAGGATTATTGGTATTCTTAAGTAGAAATGGTGATTTCTAGTACTATTTTATGAAACGGTATAACAATATCAATGTTAGTAGTTCATATTTTGATACAAACATTTGATAATATCCAAATGATGTCCAGAAACAATAGTCGTTTACTTTCCTAAAAATGTTGGTGGATTGAATCTCTATTCTTTCTTTTTTTTTTAATCATTTCTTAAATATAATTTCAGGTATATAGATATAGCGTAAAATTTGTTCTGTTTTCGCTATTATTGTAATGCCTGTGTAAGTGATCAATATAGCCAATTTTTCGTCACCACTAGCTTTGTCTCTCTTCTCTTCATTATATGTAGGTGTTATATATTTATATCAACAGCTAAAACATATTAACTTTTTTTTTTAAATATCTTATTCATTACCAATTTGAATCTAAATGAAACAAGTGAGCAAAATACACTACATTCATATATAAATGTTACATGATCCTACGATTCCAGTAGTGGAACTGTTCATAAAAATATAAAATTCCCATTTTATAACAAATTATATTTATTAAATCAAAATTGGTGATATTAGGGATTATTTAATTGAAAAATATTGCAATACTTTAAAATAAATTATAAAAAAAATATTTGCGTATTGCAACAAGAGATGTTTTTAAATATTTGACTGATATATGTGTCATCTTGCGGAAGGTCGTATAACTGGTTATTTGATTAGAATTATTTTGTTTAATTCCGCTACCATTAGTATGTGCGTGACTATTACCCTTCGAATGATTCACCACCATCATTACTACTAGAAGTTTACAATCTTCCATGTTAGCTTTTTTACTTCTAAACAAAGCATCAGTAGCCAAATTATTATATTGCTGTTTTTATAGATGAAATACGTGTAAACGTGCATAGACGAAATGCCAGTCGGAGATTGAGGGCTAATATGGAAGGTTGTAGAACTTCTAATAATGATGGTGGTCAATCTTTCGAGTGTTGGCAGTCACATACACACAAATTAATGATAGTGGAATTAAAATAATTCTAATCAAATAACCAGATTTTTTTCAAAATATCTATTTATTATCAAGATACTAAATAAAACATGAGCAAATTTGAAAAAAAAAAAACTCATTTGGTAGTCCATAATGTCAGTATATGTATTCATCAAAGAAGAATTATTTCAGAAATAAAATTTCAAAAAAATAGCAAATATTCCAATAATGGAGTACTTACTGGGATGATAATGGTTAATTTGTAGTCACTATTAAATGTATTTGTGTAATGTAGGCTTAGATAATAAAAATGAAAACCACTTGGCAGCAATTAATACTGGATCGAAAATAAGGCGCTATTTCTCTAAACCAATTTCTGAATTTGATGACGCAGCGAAGTCTTTATTATAAGGATCAGTATAAACAAATTTTCTAATAAAGTCAAAATTATTGGATGGTTTCATAAAACGGTAATTTTCTGAAATTATCGCATTAAAATATTAGGTTATTAGAGAAATGGAGTCTCAGAATCAAGCCCAATATTTTAGTATCGTAATAGTTTATGATGTATATCATCATCAATGAGTCAGTCATCAATGAGGGATGATAGGTGAAAATGAAAAGGTAGATCAGTTAGTCTATCGTTATATATTCACCTAGCATTAAACAAGATGGTTTCCAGGGGGTATATTGCTAGCAATGGAGTTGTCAGTTTCAGATTATATAGAATAGGAAAAATAAAGTAGAAAAAATTACTGCAACCTTGAAACTTGGCATAGTTATTATTAGGTTAAGATGACATTGCAAATAAAAAGTAAACTTCAGGAAAATGAGATTAAAGATATATTTATAGGTGTATAAAGTAAAAAAAAAACACCAGTTTTTTTGCAGATTATTCAAAAACTACTGAATGACATTAAAAAAATATTATATATTAATAATAATTAAATATTGATAAGATATTGTATCTGAAGTAATTATGTATATTTTAGTATATCTTTCAATATTCTAGGACCTAGAATACCTAGAATTTATATGAAAAACTGACCAAGATGTGATTATTTCAAGATAGGATTTTTTTGCAACAGAATGACAATCAAGCTGTCGGCCCACTTGATGGAATATGTTAACCATCGCCTAAAGAGGGGAAGGGATTGTTAGTAATGGGAAAGTTAGTTCCAACTGCTATCAATATACCATATCAGGTCGACCTCCACGCGGTTCCCCCTGGAAACCATCGTGGCCAATTTATCGTTAAATTCGTCGCCATGGACTAATTGACCTGCTTTTTCATCCTCACCAATCATCCCTCACTAGTGCCTCACCAGTGTATACCGATAGCGCAGGTGGGGTAAACGTTCCATTATCATCCATTAAAAAAAACCGTCGCGTATAGACATGAACAGTACCATAGGTATAACAGAATATACTGTATCGCCCATAATAACCATGTGTTGCTGTTGTTGATGACTAAGGTGTTGTGCCTTTGTACCCTGTAATTTAATTGTCATACCCCACCCTTAAGGCTGAAACAGCTATGAAAACAACTGTTTCACGGCAGAAACTCGAATGGGACTGTGGGAACCAAAGGGAATAAATAAAATTTGAAAATATATGTATATATCAAAATTATGAATAATATATGTGGCCAGTACTTCATATTGTCTAACCCGTTAGGCTCCGTACTAACAAGTAGTCGTGGGGAATAATTCAAATAATAGACAAATATTAAATATAAACCAGTTTACGGAATGCCCTAATGTACTTACGTAGGTACAGTATGCTTAAGAACCCCTTTGGCTCTGGCTACATTTGCTACACATTCGTCTAGAAACCTCTAAACACAGGGACGGCCCAAGAGTAGACCCTTAAAACACCCTTGCGCACAAGTAACCAATTAGATGTAACACTATTACTTCAATTATTTGAATTCTGTTTGATATGATTTGATTAAATTTTAAAAAGTTAGTTTTTCAGCAATGTGTCATAATCTGCACAATCGAAAACTTTAGGTAATAAAAACGTCAATCGCATCCTTTTCATTTTCCAAAAAGCAAAAATGTATCTTAGTAACTCCATACGCTCCGCATCTGCATTCATGTTTATCGTCCTTTAGAAAAAACCAAATATACTATTATGAATTACTTCGTTTAAATTACAATAATTAATTAGTTAATTCAACATGATTATTTCAAAAATCTTATTCAATGCGGAATGGAAATGTGCCTATAGTTTACTGGATCACTTTTAATCTCATCTTTGAAAAGTGATATAGTTTTACTTAGAATTTCATTTAGATTAGGAAACTTACTATTATCTATGCAATTTAAGGGACGGTGAAATAATTCCTATTATATTTCAAAGATAATGTCTCTATACAAATGGTTCATAAAAGCGGTCCAACTTTTTCATACAATTGTGTACACAACAGTGTTACCAGATTAGAAATTATTACTTTAGATTAAGGTAAATAGGTGAAGGTTGTAACTTAAAATATTACTAGAATGAAATACATAATTTATTTATATATTTCATAACATAAATAATATTAGCTAATTTGACAATTAGCTGACAAAAAGTTGACCCGTGTATGAGGTCCGAGGCTCTATATATAATCTAAGACTACCAAGTATTTTAATAGATAAACCCCATAAATCATCAGTTTCTTTTTATTAATAAGGCATAGAAATAGCTTTATTATATCTACGGAAGTTATATGATTAAAACTAAATACAATTGATTGTTAACATTTTTTGTTAGTAAAGCTTTAGCCACAGATGCGGAAGAGTTTAAAGATCGAGTTGTTGCAAACAAATGGTATATTAATAAAAAAAAGATTCGTTTCTGGAACTTTAATGACAGTATTAATTAATTTATTATTAATATTTAAAACAATTTTATTATCATGAGCCTTTACCCGTTTCGCTATTAATTACCTTCCAAGAGCCTTTAATTTTATTCTCAGTTATTAATTAGTATAGTCAGCCATGCCTTTTTTAAAAATATCATTGTCCGGTTAGAGGAACTGTAGGAAAGGATAGGATTTCATTTAATTTTGTTCAACATACAATCTGCATTACATAATAGGTAACAGATAATGTTCAAATTTATACGACAATAAATGTATTGTATTATTTTATTCAAACTCTCACCATATGATGTTTTTTTTTTTCAATATTTACATAACACGTTTTTTAAATTACATAAATATTAGCCGTAGTAATTATGCTTTGGTTTCCTAACACAATATAGAATTGAATTAAAAATGACAACAAATTCAGCCTTTTGTGATAATATTGAATCAACTGCATTTATGAATCTGTCAATGATCACAAAAAAGAAAATACTTATATTATCAACAAATTAGGTGTTTATAGTTCACTGTGTGGGTAACAATATGAAAATTACAATATTTTTGTCATTGCCACAAATTCACATGGGATTTCTTTATATATTGATAATTGATAAGTTTTTTAATATTTTATAATATTCACATTAACATTGCTACATTTTCAAATAGTTTTTTTTTTAATTTCATTTTGATTACACATTTATAAAAAGTACTGTGCCAGTCACATGGTAATAAAATTCCCTGAACTGTGTTGGCAGTTGACAATTGTTTCTAAAATAGTGTTTTATATTATATTTTTCTTGTTATGATAAATTGAAACATAAATGATTCGGACAAAATAAAAAAAAAAAATATATATTTTTACGTGTGACTGGTACGTTTGACAATTTTTCATACTGACACACTTAAACTAAATTAACGAGTAAAGTACAGAATAATATTGTATTAACCTTTGTGACACGATATTAAATGAATAAAAAATATACATACGCAATAATGTATAAGTACATTATTTATACGCATTTGCATTGCGTTATTTTGTCATTTTCAGTTCACGCCAGAATATTTCCAAAGTCCTTAAAAGATATGTAATTTGGTAAAAATAATCGGCATGATATATTCTCTGCCGAAGATGTGTGTTCAAGGTTCAGTTAAAAGTTGATAATTTTCACGTGCAAAAATATTTTGTTATTCTATTATTTTTATTTAATAATTTAATTTAAATAAAACATCTTCTCGATGAATTCTTAATTACTACATATATACAGATAGACATGTTCATTAGTAGCAAAAGCATCGAAAATATACATATAGTACTCGTGTCGTATTTACATCGTTAAACTAACATCTCTGTGCATGACTCTGACGTTCAACGAAACAATCCTGACTAATTCTAAGGCTCCGTTCACAATAAATGAGCGGACGCGATAGGCACGACAAAGAAATAAATAAAATACACCTAAATCCTGCTACTGACAATTACTAAGTAAATAATTATCTACGGGAAAAAATAAATATGACTTAATAGGTAGGTAACTCAACTGTGCCTGCCCGTCGTTTATTAAAACAGAACAGATCCACATAAATAATCCACAGCCACGTGTTAGTATAGTACTACACATATTAAATAAATAGTGCACATAATAAATAAAAAACCGAGTGTATTTAAGATCTTAACCCTCTTTACAATTTATTCTTTAAATAGAGACGTATTGGTAGAAATCTAAATGACTGTAAGAGAGCCATGGCATTTTTAATATTATGCAGACTAGAATTGGAAGTACATGTTTATTGTTCAGAAAATTATTTTGCAATGCAAACTTAGTCACTTGTTACATTACTATCGCTTGACTGTCCTATTATTTAGTGATGAAACATATTTCGTTGAATGTGCAGTCAAGATGTGTCACGCTGGTTTGAGTTTTAATTATTACGTTACTCTTTGTTCACTAATTATGATTATAGAAAGAAAGGCACAAATGTATTTTTATATCAATTGTGTTATATAATATTTTTTAATAAAGAATCCTAAATAATTTCGTTGTCAAATATGTCAAATTATATAAACCTATTGTGTTCAATTTTGTACTTCTACACAACTGGTCCCGGACATAAGACGCCAAGCATGCAAGTTGGAGAGTCTTATAAATTGGTAATCTACATATCGACGACTATTATAATTTCTCTGTAAAGTAAACTAAAGTCAATATTGGTATGATAACCGTGTAAATATAGTATATAAATTTATTATGTTTGTTAAGACACTATGGAAGTCTATCGTTTGGTTGATTAAAAAAATATAATCTAATTGCACAAGAAATTGTTATTATTTATTCATTTTTCATATTAGAGAACCTGGACACGAGCGGGAAGCGAACTATCCGCAGCTGGTTGGCGTAGTCGCAAACAATCGCGTCCTTGAGGGGCAGTATTTGTCGTACAAATATGCAGCCGTCACCTTCGCCTGTGAAAGATTAAGTTGCTTTTTAGTAAAAAATGTTCAGTGCATGAATTTCATGAGCGTCAAAATATATTATGACGTCTATGATACCATTTATATCCACAGGAGTGTATTACATAATTGTTGCACATATTTAGAAAAATATTATTAAATAAGCAGTGAAATGTCCATTGATTTGATACGTACCCAATAGTACACGTCGTATAACGTCACCACTGCTTAGGTCATATGCGATAAGGCCATTGCGGTCACCCATCACTAGTAAAGTATGAGTAAGCGGTAGCATACGACTCATATAATTCAGACCCTGCAAATTAAAAACTTGTGGAAGGCACTTGACAATTGACATAACTAAATACGTATTAGGGCCGATACTGAGGCATCATTTCTTTAATCAAAAATTTCTATTTGGTAGTTTTGCGAAATTACGGTTATATGAACCATTTGAAAATAAATTTATAATGATTTTGATTTAAATCTGGAAATTTTGTTAGTATGTGTCCACCGAATAAAGATTTCGTTTAATATCAAAGTCAAACTTTAATTTCAGTAATAGTTTATGAGAATTGATCCCATTATTGTTATTGTAAAGACATATGTTAATGTTGTTATTATAAAAAGTTTTTATACATTCATTCATTAATGTTCAGCGAAAATGAATAGAACATATTAGTGGGGGTAATAACCACTTATGGGTTAATGAATATGGACCAAATCATTGATATGTTAAAAATAATTTTATTTATTAAATAATAAAATATATAAAGATAAAAATCAACTTTGTCAGCTAATTTGTTAATTAGCTGACAAAAGTTGACCTATTTTTGAGACTCGATGCTCTAACTATATAATCTAAGGGTATTATTTAAGTGTCACAAATGTAATTAAGGGAAACATTACAGTTTAAGAGACCAAATTTATATTTTTTATAAACTTTTCTATTTATCTCTTGATGAACTAATAATATGTTGTCGGGCAAGTCAATTTATTGTCATCGTTTCCGACAGATACAAGAGTGCCTTACAAATGGATAATACATAATTTACAGGTATGAACATAAAAAAATTTCCTTCATGTGGTAGCAAAGTAAGAATGCATTACTAGTCATTTTAATTCCCAGGGGACAATAAAAATGATTTGGGGATCGAAACACTATCACACAACAAGAGAAGGATCGATAGGGATTCGCGCTCAACAGTGGAACGATAATGGTTTAATAATAATGATGATTATTCATTATTACTAAGATCAATGTAAATTACGTATTCAAATAAAGAACACAGTACTTACAATGTATATGGAATTGAGCATGTGCCCTTGGAAACGATCCCAGATACAGAGACGTTCGTCGGAGCCTGCGGACACTACGTACGAAGCGGTGTACGTTAACGAAGTTACCGCGCCATCATGAGCCTGCATGCTGTACAAACACGCGCCTACGAACAAACACATTGGTATACAATATCCATATAACATACAAATAAAATATTATTATATAGGTTTATTGAAATAAATAGGATCTTGTGAGTGCATACGAGTATATGATTCAGAGTGGGTCATCATCATTATATCAAATGATATCTGTCCACTGCTGAACACAGATCTCTGACATAAATATTATTACTATTTACTTCATTCTCGGTTAATTTGCCGGTTTTCTCAGACAACCCGTCCCAAAAACCTTTGGCAAAAAGAAAGCTGAGATCCCAACCCCTTTTATTATTATTATGGATTCAATAAATATTATTATTACTATTACATAGATTGCCACAAGAAAAGGTGCGCCAGAGTCGCTTGCATCCACTGACTATATGCAATACATTTTAGATTGTCACTTTATCTAGTGGGGTCATCCTATACTGCGTTTGTCTGTACATGGTCGCAGCTTAATAACCTTTCTTCGAGTGGGTCATATTATCTTCCAAATATATATTACCTTAATATTCATATTTTATAGTAAAATATATATATACGAGTATTATGTGGATATATTATATAATGGAGGCCTACAGTTGACAGTCTCTATTAGGTTGGCCGTCAGTTTATTATTCTATGTTGCACAAAAATAAAACTTTTCCATATTTACTACTTACGTTATTTAAAATATTGTATGCTAGATAAGCTTTGCGTAGTTCTGGACTCAATTCTCGGCCAGGCTAATATAGGAAACCAATTCTTATAAATGGTCTCGGGTTTGAGCTGCATTAAATCCGTAACACAGTCTCGATTAGGCAATTCGTGTGACTTACTCGTACTTATATTATTGTTCCATTATTTCAGTTTAATATATATAAAAATTCACGTTAATCTTTGAAACTACTCAATCGATTGTAATGAAATTTTGTAATCATTTACTGTAATTTGAGAGTTACGATAACTTTGATGCCAATAAGAAGAAAGCGATCTGGTGGTGTCAGCCATAATTTTATAAAATTACTTGAAGTATTTTTACCAGTATGCAGGTCCCAAACACAAAGGAGACCGTCTTGTGAGCCGCTGCCCGAGATGGTGGGTGTAGCGTGGTCAATAAAGCAGCTGGTGATGGGCCCGCAATGGCCGTGCAGTGTGAATAATTGGGTCAGGTCCGCGCTCAAAAATACCTGTATCGAATATTTCAGTTATACAGGACAGGTCGTTTTCAAAATTTAGAATTGCAACACAAGCATTATGGGAACACTTTACATTTTAGGGTGATGCAGATGACAGCTGTCACATTTCCAATTTTTAATGAAAATGGACTAACTGTTAATCAAATCTTATAGAAATTATAATTGAAGAATTTATCCACGATAAATCGACTACACTAGGACCATAGCACGAGTATGTTAGATTCAAGTAGCATCTTACGGCGAGTTGAGAGATAATTTAACAAATAGGCTTAGAACTGGCGAAATATTTGTGTAAATATTTATACAAAAGCGTAATTGTGACATATAATAATTACATGTCATAAAAATAATCTGTAAAGAAATATCTAAGCGACAGTGAAACGCGTAAAAAATTCCGTTGCGTGATTTAAAGAAAGTGGATAAAACAAAGACGCGAATAATGTTTTTGTCTTATCTTTTACTTAGGGTGAAAATTGGAGATTTTATAAAAAGGTGAAATTATAATATTATGAAATGCAATTCGCACCTTTAAAATATGATCTTGTCCTCCGGTGACGATGCGCGCTCCCTCTGAATGCATTTCTGTGATAGGTTGTTGGTGAGGTCTGCATTGAGCGATGCGCGTGCATATTATTTCTGTAATTAAAAATTATGTGATATAAAAAAAATATTCCACTAAGCCGGACAGAAAACCGCCCTCTATGCTAAATTTCACAATACTTGCCTTCGTCTTCTCCAAGTTCCGCCTCGTAGGAGAAACTCATACGTGCCCGTAACGGCTCTTCGACGCCCTGCATGTATGAATGAAGCGAGCCCGCAGAGCCGGTGCGTTTGTGTGCTGTTTATATTAAACATATATGTATATTTTTAAAGATATAATGCAGTATTTAATGAACAATGAGAACCTGAGATTGTTGAAATTTTTAATATTGTTACAATTATACTGGGAAATTGTAATGGTTTCCCAATGAAACATAGGTAATATTTTTAGCCCTACTTATTTTACGGCGCGTCTTGTTGTTAATTTATAGGGGGAATTTACATTTTTTTGTTGATTATAAAAAATCTATTTGCTTTTATGAATATAAAAGTGAGTGTTACTTCTTCTGTGCGCCGTGCTAAACTGCCAGTCGACCTGTGAGCCCGAGGCTGCGTTGTAAGCGCTCATTTGCAGCAAGGTGATGTAGCCGGCAAGTGTGGCCACGCACACCCGTCGTGCGCCCGACAGGGCACGTATATGCGTCACACCAGCCGCGTCACGTTCACCCCAACGACATTCGGGGGTCCACCAAACACACTGCATGGACAGGAATACTTTAATATATAACAATTACAGCTTTTAGTATAAAGCGATACAGTCTAAGAACTCTACCAGTTGATCTACATACACATTTAACTAGAACGGAAGCCTAGATTGTTATGTAAATGATACCAAAGGCATTGGAACACTGGCTGTCACATAAAATGTAAGGTAAAAAATATGACAACAGTTTTTAACTTCCATCTTAGATAAATCCATTTACTAGTTATTAAATTATATATTTTAAATAGTGTAGTAGTAAATACACTAGATTAGACTGTGTAGTAGTGGTGGTTGGATTTCAAGATCCTATTATATTAAAGGAAATAAAAGATAAACAGTATATATAAAGCAACCCCTAATATAATGCAATTATATTTCCATCTAACATATCAAAGGACAGCTATGACACTATACATCCGTTTGGGAATTAAATTGCCATTAAATAGGTTTAAGTTTATAAATACAACTACGCAGCAACTGTAGTAAATATATTTAAAAAAAAAACTAAGTTTCATAATTCCAAATGGATAGAAATATTATTAAAATATTAAAATTTATTACAATACTTATTTAATTGATTGAAACTTAACTGGTAAGAGTACCAGCATCACACCATGCATCTGCGGGCTCAAATTCCCCTGTTTTGATATTTTTGTTTTCACATTTTAATAAAATTTCCAAAAGAACTAGAACTGGATTTAGTTCTATATATTAAAATATAAAACTAACCATGATTCTTCTAGAGGTGACTTCCCAAAACTCAATGCGACCATCAGCACACCCCAATATGATAAGATCATTGCAAAAGTCCATGCACCATATCGGAGATTCTTCTAGCAGTTTATCTCTCCAGTTGAAGTTCGTCACTTTGTTTGTTTCACTCACTTCTGTTCTCACTTTAGCACTATTATAATTTAACTTACTTTTATTATTAAAACTACTCAAAGACGAGTCTTTTGGACTATAAGCAAAAATGTTCTCATTAGTGTTTCTATCACTATGTGCACTGATTTTTCTACTTATATTTAAATTTGTTGTATCCACATTTTCTTTAGTCTCATAACAGCTATAGAGATCATCAGTTTGTTCACTGCAGTACAGTTCTCTGTAACGAAAAGATTAAATAATCGATAATGTAAAGTATCATACATTTAAAAAACATACATGTATTAATATTTGTTCACCCAATGACGGAAAAATATATCGCTTTATGTAAAATTACTGTAGAAATATCATAGTATTAACTTTCAGACTTTCGCACTGCATGCTTTGTTCTTAGATTATATAGATAAAGTGTCTCCATAGAAATGTTTCGGGAAAAACGGGTCAACTTTTTCATACAATTTTGCGTGACAAATAGTTATAATTGTTTTCTTTATAACTTCTATATTTATTTTGTCTTATAAATTATGCATCTTTTTAATGCGTAAACACGTTTTTTATTTATTAAATAATACGTCAAGATACATTTTATGCGTAAATATATAGAATACTGATAAAAAAAACGAGCTAATATGAGAAATAGCTGATAAAAAGTTGCCAGTAGTTGCCACGCATGGCAGGCGGATCAGCAACCGTAGTTTTTTTTTTGATGGGTGAAAATGGTATGGTAGCCCCACCTGCACTAACGGGATACGCTGGCGGGGCACCAGTGAAGGATGATAGGTGAGGATGAAGCAGGTCAGTTAGCCCGTCGTGACGAATTCAATAAGAATTGTTCACGATGGTTTCCAGGAGGAACCACGTGGAGGTCGACCTAATAGGGCATATTGCTAACAATGGGGCTGTCAAATTCCATTGCTAACAATCGCTTTCCCCCCCCCGGCAACCGTAGTTAGGCTTTTATGTTTTACGAGAGACGTTACTGCTTATCCCTCGTCTTCCCTTAGTCGCCTCTTACGACGCCTATGGGAAAGGAAGAGGTGGCTTGTTCTATGTCAGAACTACACGGCATAGAATAAGCCATCTTAAAGCTTAACTGCGTTTGCAAATCCACCTGCATAGCATGGCAATGGGGTGGGCCTATGTTCAGCAGTGGACTGTTAACGGCTGATTTACATGTAATGAATTGAAAAATACCTGTAAACTTTAGCGAACTCATATTTAGTTGTTTCCGCGGGATGGAGGTTGGCAGTAGGATCTCGCATTGTCGTACGGAACCGCAGTCCACTGAGGTGGTTGCTTAGTCTCTTCTGTATTTTATGCACCGGCTACATGTATAAAAACCATAATTATTATTGTTTTATAATTAAAATAAAAAAATGATGTACACATATGAAATATTTCTTAAAAAGTATAATATATGTTCTGAAATCTAGTGATAGTTCACTACATAGTATAATACAAAGTCGCTGTCGCTGTCTATCCGTCCCTATGCATGCTTAAAACTTTAAAACTATGCAACGGAGTGATTCAAGAGGAAGGTTCATATGTATAATACCTACATGCATAATATAGTAGAGAAACACTGATAATTTTAAAGGTTTCTAATGTGATGTGATGTAATGTGCACCCGTGCGAAGCCGGGGCGGGTCGCCAGTATTCAATAAATTAATCGATTTTTCATTTACTGTGCACTACTATTGAAATTGTACAATACTTACTTGATACTGATTGATTTTCAGTGAAACATCAGAGCTAGTAGGATATCCTGAAATAAAACAAAGTATTTGATCAGAGAAATAAAGTAATTGAAGATACGTGACATATGCCATCAAAAAAAAAAACAGGATATCAGTGTTACCAGCATATGTCAATTAAATGGGGTAAAAAGAGGCCTATCTCCTTTCCCAATATAATGTGTATATTAAATTTCATGACAATTGGTAGAGCTAATCAGGCGCCTAGAGGTAACATAACAATGTCATAATATAAATAAGGAACAGTCTCACAGTTACGTGGCACGATTTGCGATAAACAACTTGGACAAGACCATAGATAACGCTGCATAATGCGCAGGTAATGTGACATTAAAACCATGTTTAAGTTAATTGAACGTATCTATAACTAAGGACCACCATTTTTTGCGGTGAAGTAGAAACATGAGCATAGTTGTATTTCGATTTGAAGATAGCCAAATCAGTCTGACACAAGATCTTAATCCTTAAAAATATATTCTAAGAATTAAGATCATATATGCAGCCAATATCACTCATGTATTGATACTCAGTGACAAAGAATATCTATAAGGATATATACAAGTGGAAATTACTTTTTATATATACAATTGGGTCATCAGTTTGTTCATTTTTGTGTATCAAATTAGAATGATAAATGTTTTAACAGTTCCCACATTTAGAATTAACAGAAGAATAAGGGGCATAATAGCGTTATTTAATCTCGAACTAAATCATTTAAGATAGACATAGATAAGTCAACTTTGTATTTACACACGTATACGTAGTATAACGTAGACAATCCAAACCGACAAAATTATGAATTAAATTTTTATATTGTTTAAAACATAGTAATGATCTAACTCACAACCATCAGAGGGACCCTTTGCAACTAGCTAAGCTATTAGGTTGTTCAATAAAAGTGTTGTATATAAAATAAAATAATAAAGTACGTGGAAGCATTCATATTACTGACATAACAATTTGATATTTAATTACTGTAATTATTGAATATGAAATTGCTACGTTTAATACATATAGATATAATCATGATATTAGTACAATATATTGTAAACATACCTTCCAGTGATTTATGTGTATACTTGCGTTTCTTTGCACTGGCATGATTTAAAAGATCGTTTTGTACTCTGAAATATCTGCAACGGAAAATGAATTATTATTATAATACATATAGCATTTGTCTTTTGATCCTGGCATAGAATGGGCTCCTTTTCTCGTGGGTGTCAAAAAAGCATAACTTAATGGTTGAAGGATAGGCAGCAGCGTACCTCTTATAACGTCACTAAAAGCTTAACTGCGCTTGCCAACTGCCTGCCAAGCGTGATGACTTCTGGCAAAACTCCCTCTTATGGGGGAGGATTATGTTTAGCAATGGACAGTTAACGGCTGATAATAATTGTTTTCAACCAACTTCAGAAATAAGGAGGTCCACAATGTAGATGTAGTTTTAAGGATCCGAGGAAAGCCTCAAGTTATGAGCAAATATGTTTGGAAGTACATATGAGCTTCTTTTTGAGTCCAAGTCTTTGAATATATTTTAGTACACCAATGATTCTTTTTAAGACTGAATTTTTCTATTATTTTTCTGGTATCAATTGGATAATTTGATCAATTTTTAACGATACCTTATTAGGATTATTTACACTTGTTTTTAGACCTATATACATATAAGTTTACTGTTTTGGTTTTGTTTGTACTGTGGATCCGATATAAAAATGATATGAAAATCTACTCACGCGTTCCTGTCGATGTTCGTGAGTAGTTCGCCATTCTGGGAGTCCCACACCTTAATGGTTCCTTGTAGACAGGAGCTAACTATTTTCTCTCCGTCAGTCACTAGGCATTCTACCTCTTGATTATGGCCTGTCACCACAATTGGTACAGCATCCATCACCAGCTGTTATCAATACATAATGTATTAAGTGGACCTTACGGTTGTTAATTGTAAAGTTACCATTGATATTGAGTTTTATTTTAATATAATTTGGAAAAATTTAATAAGACTTGTTTTAAAAAGTATGTCATCAGAGATACATTCATAAATAGAACTGAAGGTGTCAAGAGTCTCCGGAACCAGACTGATAAGAAGAGTTATGAAAGTGCATGAAGCAAGAGATGTATGTAAGGATAGAGGTATTTTGGAATTCGGTTCTCTCTGTGTACCCCGTTAAGGACTTGGGATGAAGATGAATTGAATACTAGATAAAATATCATGTAAATTAATAGTTTATTTACAAATAATATAGAAATAGTAAAATCAAAATACGAAAAATTGACAATTCTTTACCTGTACGGCAGGCTGTTTTTCAATTATTTTCTTGTACATGGCGTCTTCATTCCACGATGCACGCCATTCCGCATAATGTCGTGAACAAATACACCTAAGCAAAGATGAAACATTATATATACTTCAAAATATAATATATATTTTGAAGTATAATATAAGTATATCTGTTATAATATCGCTATTTCTGGGACATATTCTCATGAAATATGCATTTTAATAATCAACTTGAAATTTCTGTTTATATGTTTATATCTTTTCACTCTACCTTTTTTTAAATATACTTGTTTATACTCATAGAAATGGATTGATGAAATAAAATTGATCTATGGCCACTAAGTATATGGCATTTTATAAATTCAGCATTGTGCAAAGTTGTGTTCTTTATCGCAAATGTGCTAGTCTAGGTACTAGGTAAAAGACTGCAGCATTCAATAAGTATTGTACTTATTCTTAATCTTGGAAAAACAATAATCACTTGACCCACGGCTTTGCACATAGCTCCACATTCAGAGTCGATGATAAAATACCAAAGTTTTTGATTACAATATTTTCTATATGTATTGTTTATCGGATGTTGTATGTATCAATCACCTAGTCGCTTATTACATATTTATATGCAAGTAAGATAATGTTTTTTCACATATTTTTGAACTGACTTTTTCGACATCGGCAAACGCAATGCTTAGTGACCATCGCTAGGATAAATCGAATAAATCAAATCAACATCAAAATAATTTACTGGGTACAGAGGAATAATACCTGAGTCCTCAGGAATGGCAACGCATGGGGAGTATCATGGGCGAAACAGTATACTCTGTTATGTCCATGGTACTGCTCATATCTATAGGCGACGGTTAGCACTTTCCATAAGGTAGGCCGTCAGCTTGTTTGCCATTCTAAGTTGTATAAAAAAAAGATTTATTTATAAACAAATTATGAGGGACGTTTGTGTTTAGTTCTGGACGAATTAAATAAAAAGGTGGAATAAAAATAATGGTAATTGGGTTCTCGATACCTCGTGATTGAAATTAGCATAATTAATTGCCAAGATCCTAATGATAGTAAATAAAACAGTATAAATGTATAAAATAAAAAGCGCACCTGTAAAGTACCATCATCATGTAAGCTATGACTGCTACGCTTATGGCACACAGAATGGCCAGTAGCAATATTTCCATAGGCGTCGTCGGGTAAATAGGAAGCTCGGTGCCCTTCCCCCATTGGTGTTGCTGACTCTTGCTTTCGATCAGCTCGAAATCTGATAAATATAAATAAATAATTATTATACAATATCATCATTATATAATAGATTAGTTTATTATTTAAAAATAAAGAAAGATTTCTATACAGTTTATATGTTGAAAATGTCGATAAACCATCTTCGCTTAATTATCAGCAACAGATTGGGTAACTTATGCACACTAATATACCTAAGTATAAAAATGAAAATGACTTCTGTTAAAAAAATAGATTGTGCACAATACGTATATTATTAACACGATTCTGGTGCGGTAGTTACGTAAGGGCATAACAAAAGAAAATACAAATAATAAGTGACTTTATTGTAAATACATAAAAATCTAGCTTGCTGTAACAAGGTAAAGTATATTTTCGTGAGAACAATATAGTAAAAATATTCATACGTAGTTATTTCGTCATAAATGTATTGTTACTGAATTACTATGTTAAATATAAAAAACTTATACTGATAAGTCATAATTGATTTTTTTTCTTATAGGGTCTAATTTTTTATTGCATTGAGCAACTAGTTTTTACTCGTGACTGCGTTGAGGTGATAGGAGATAAGAAAAAACTTTTTCACATTTATGGTATCAGTAAAGGTTTCATTAAAGTAAGGATATATATATATATATATATATATATATATATATATATATATATATATATATATATATATATATATATATATATATATATATAAACGCTTGGCCATGAGCCCTGCAATGTTATATCTTGTACATACATAATTATAAACAAAGCAGAATATTACTAGTAAAGTTTGCAATCATACATTGTAGCGATAAGTTGATAACGACAAGCTAATTAAACAGTTTATTAATATACCAATAAATTGGTAATAGTAAAAAAAAAAACAAGTAATGTTCACTATAATATGATTATGATGTTGTGTTTGTGAATCGATTGGTAAAAATTTATCCATATTAAAATGCCCACCTAAATATGTGATTCATGTGTTTACTCTACCCTATCAGGTTGACCTCCAATAGACCCCTTGTAAACCATAGTAGTTGTTCCTAGTGAATTTGTCATGATAGGTTAACTGACCTCGTTTGGTGGGAGAAAGGTATTGTTAGTAATGCGAACTACTAATATCTATGCTAACAATAAATCCTGTTATATCAGATCCATGTGGTCCCCCTGGAAACCATTGTGCTGAATTCCAGGTGTGTTCATCACGATGGGCTAACTGACCTGTCTTTTCATTTTCATCTATCATTTCTCTCTGGTGCTCTGCCAGCGTATATACAGCGTATATATAGTTAGTTCAGGGGGTTACCATTTCATTAAAAAAAAAGTGACCTGACTTGATGTTCATTTATCATCTCTTATATCAGTGTTAGAATAAACCCACGACTGTAATCCCTATTCGGAGACATTAATCGATTGTTGCTGTAGTGGAAATATAACATAAAAAATTGTGTGATTCTGAGCCACCCCTACCTTTTCTGTGGGTGTAATAAGAGACGACTAAGAAAATTTAATAGTCGAGGGATGGGCAGCAGTATCTGTCTTAAAACATCACCAAAAGCCTAATTGCGATTGCCAAGTCGCTTGCCAAGCGTGGCAATTACTGGCAAAACTCCCATTAAGGAGAAGGCCTATGTTTAGCAGGGGATAGCTAACGGCTGATATAATAATTATATTGTTATAAAAAATTTGGGTTTATTTTTATATTTTTTTCCCCCAAAAATTCATAATCACCTTTTCAATAAAGTAATATAGATATCGATTAAATGAGTTAATAATTCAGAGTTGTATTTGTTGAGTTCATTTTTCGACCATTGCTATGAATTCCGTATTTGCTGACTCTTCGTTGCGACCGTCGCGTCGTGCGGACATGACCTAGTTCGGCCGTAGCTATGTAATTTGTAATTAGCAAGATTGTTGTCTTGTTTTAATTTCTAATTATATCGACGTTGTGTGACGTCAGATTAATTATTATAATTCTGTGATAATAATGAATGAATTATAGTTGGGTGCTTGTTAATCTCCAGACAATTAGCTTCTTTCATTTTTCCTAGTATCATAATTATTATCTTAGCGATTATCTGTCTATTGTTGACCATAGGCATCTTCCATAGACTACCATAAGGAACGGTTTTGAGCCACCTGCAACTACTAAATTGCATTTGAGGTTGTCACTCCATTTAGTGAGGGATCGTTGTTCGAACGATCGTTAATGAATTAATGGTAACTATATTTGCTTGAATACAGGTTATTACATTAGAAGTATTTAATGTTGAAGAAAAGGGTTCTCTGCATTTAACCGTGTGGCGTGCAAATATTTTATTTGGAACTTGTTAAGAATAAGTTTACATTAAAATAGTATTCAGGTGAGTACAGACATTTCTTAATAAGTCAATTGTAAAGTTTCTCATTAAATTTTTCGTCTGTCAGATTTTTGTATACTGTCGGTATTTGTTATATATTTTTACTGCAATTTTTATGTAGTAACAATTCCTGGGATTCAATTTATGTGACCAGCCCATTGCCACTTCTTCCTAGTATGTACGAAGTAGTAAATCTTCCAAGACCATCACAAACTCACACTGTTGATGGTGTGAGAGACGTCCATATACTAATAAACAGATGTGTTCGGTGAATATCCCATGCCAGTTCCCTTTGCACCCATAAGTGTTGGAGGAGCCAATGGTCAAATAGTCAAGGACTGCTCAGTTGCCCTTATAGTATGCCACTAGAATTTCCAGATCGGTGGGATCCGCTTGTAGAGGCTGGTGAAAATTTGCAGTTAACTTTCTCCACGGTGCTATATTTTGACTATCGGGCACTAGACATCTTCCATGAGGAAATCATATTGGGGTCGAGATAAAGTGGTGTTTTAACAAATTAAATAAATCAGTGCTAAATTAACAATTAATAAATCTTTTATTAAACAAATTACTTTTTTTTTGCACGGTAAGCACTGACTATAACATATTGGACATTACAGATAAATAATTAATTAATTGCTACATAATATGTGATTTTTAAATTTTTACACTATGTAAGTATCTGTCGACCTATAGTGACAAATTCACCAAGAATTAGCCACATTGGTTTTCAGGGGGGACCACGTGGAGGTCGACTTGATAGGGTATATTACGTGTATGGTTTTTTTTTTATTGTAATTTGTGTGCTGTAAGTAATGTAAATAAATTGTCTATCTATCTATCTATATTGTTATAAGGGGACCTCAGTCTCCATTATAAGCAATCCCTTCCCGCCCCGTCATGACATTTACGTCCCGTACGTAAGTAACTACTAATGTTTCCGTAGGACCTAGGGAGGAAGGGATTGTTAGTACGTGAATGAGCCAATGTTTGTGCGTAAAAGTAGCATGTTTTTTTCAATCGATTTCAAAAAGGAGTAGGTTTTGATTTCGACTGAAACTAATTCTAAATTCAAAATTGAATTGAGTTGAGAAATATATTATTTATTTAATATATATAAATTAAATTTAATAACCAAAAATGTCCGAAATAATAAAAAAAAAATTAAAGATGATGTAGATAATCACAAAAGTTTTAACTAAGATCATCGCGTAAAAGGAGAGCCTAAGCTTGCCACGGAAAGATAAGGCTAGTGCCATGTTCGTGAATGCTTAAGAGCGTCACTATACAAATGCATACGTTTTGCTCTCCCACAATATCGTGACGGTAAAATCGTACGATATCGTGAAGTTTCACGGAAAAGTATAAAAACGCTTACAAATGCATACACTGTGCTCTCCTATTGTATCGTAATGTTAAATCCTACGATATCGTGAAGTATAAAAATATCCCTAATTATATTTTTTTTCTGTGTAATTGTTTTGAAATTGAGTGTTTAGCTTTACTGCATATGTACATTGTATGGTATGTTTAAGATGAATATTTGTATTTTCACAATAAATTTACTTACTTTTAGTTATCTTTTTACAAAGTTACTTATATCTATTCATATTTTGTATAGAGAATAAAAAAAATATATAATTACCAGGTAATATATCAATGGGGTCGAGCGCTGCGGCGAGTGCTTGCCACCTTAGCGGCGGTGGGTCCTTCTCATCGGGGTTGCGAAGCGTGGCCGCCAGCTCGGGGCCCACACGGTGGCTTATAAACATCGGCGGTAGCACCACCGCATACCGTCCCGCCACTGACTCGTTGTACTGCGACAGTATTGTCGACCAGTGGTACGGAGATAACCTGCACAGGAAACACATAATCGCAAAAAATCACCTCTGATGTCATTAATCACTTACCCAATAGATATCATATATAAATAATTGGAAATATCAGCATTAAACACATTGTTGATAAACAAGTAGTACTGACGAGTGAAGTTTTGCAACAGAAAACGTGAACGCAAATTGTCTTAATAATAAATAATTATTTTCACATAATCACACTAATAGCATGATACTCAAGCTAGAATATCGTGTTGAACCAGAGAAACAACGATTCTAATGTAATAATCTACTTTCAACGATTTTGCCTTCCGAACGACTTGATAATAACTTTAGATTTGGCAAAAGCTGTTCAGTATTATAAATAATATCTAACTAGATTAAGAATTTTTTTTTTATATAAAAGCATATACATTACCTGGACCATGGCCGTGAATGTGGAGAGTGCTTTAACATGACAGTGTCATTTGCATCTACAGCTGCCTTCTCCGAGTCTGCGAAATCCAGCAAGGGTGAAAACACCAATGTGCTTTTATCGGTATTATTGAAAAACATGTACACAGACTGTTTGGACTCTTTCTTCTGATAATTTTTCTTGTTTAGATCTCTGCTCCCCTCAGTTTTCTCAGTGCTCATGATAAAGTAATCAACTACGCCTGAATTGTACACGATCATAGATATCCATACCAGCATCCATAGCATAAAAGCGCGTTGAAAGAATCTCGTTCGTGCCCACATATTGACAAGACGGATGCGTTTGGGCACTCTATTGTCTTGACTGCCGCTGCTCATATTCCTCTGGGCCACCACATCTGTGGGGCTACCATGCGCTAAGCCATTTAACCTCGGGTGTGACTTTGACTTCGTCATCCGTTGTGGCGAATAACATTTTTCTTCTACATTCGTACGTCTTTTAGTAAGACGCCAATTCAAAGCACTATTATCAATAAAGTACTCCTTAAACTGTAGTCTATTTTTCTGATCTTGAAAATACTCCATACGTTGAACGTCAATGCCGAGAATGGTAGCGAAAAATACCATTTGTATGAGGTAATCAGCGATAAGGCTCACGATCATAAATATGGAGAACTCTTGTATGAAGGGGACGAATGTGAAAAAACTGACAGTCAATATTGTTATTTCGATGAGAAGATTCTTTGTTATGGACCACCCTTCCTTGCTCAGACCCTGCGCAAGACGAATTTTGACGTCAAGCCGCGAGTCGGTGGACGTAACACTCTTTGTGACTACTAGTGCGTTTTCAAGGCCGACGATAATAACGAGATAGGGGAAAATTTCTTTGCCTTGTAGACTCAATGAGAAGCCAAAGTAGAAGCAAATTCCCATAGACATTAATAGACTGGCGATTATAGTGGCTACAGCGGATGCGGCCAAGCCTAGCTTAGATTTTATGTATTCGATTTTCCTAACAGAAAAATATACGTATAGGAATAATCCAATAAAGGTAATCATGAGAGGCACCAGTTCGTGATAGTTGAACTGTCCAGGGTAGTATATCAGAGTGACTTCGTCAATACGCTTGTACACGTCTTGATATAGTGGATACATTTCTTTCAGTTTTTTCGTTAGAGATTGTATAAATCTGAAACAAGTAACGAATGTTATCTTTGTACGCGTAATTACGAATACGAATCACTGTAATTGCGATCAGTTGCCGAAGATTACACCGATAATAGTTGATATACAATGCATTCAATACTATGTACTTGCTGTTACTTATCATGTGGAAATTATCATGATAGGAACAGGTGTTAAAATATTAGAAATAACATCACTGGCGGCAGTGAACTTGATATTAAAGTTAATGAACTAGATAGTGTGAATACATAATCAATGAACGTTTCAAATACGAATTCTAATAGTTTTTACTTGCTTACTAAATTACTTGCCAAATACACTGCATGAAGATTAAGGATCACGGGTCTTTGGCTAGGTAATAAGGCGTCACAATAAAAAAAGATGTTATACTTATAAAGGTGTACGATATTATAAATGGTTACTGTTAGTTACTACACATAATTATGATTATTATACATTAATTATTTTAGGGTTAAGTAAAATGCCATAAAACAATTTCCACATTAAACATTTGATTTATAATACTTTGTCTAATTTATTTATTATCATTATGATAACATAATATTAAAAATAGTTTCCTTACTTCTGATCAGGATTTTGGTAAAAGATAGTGACTGCGTATTGTAGAACGCGCGGGCGTGCTCGTAGCGGGTATCGCTTTATGCCGGTATCACGCATCTGCATGCCAAATGCCATCTCCGCGATTGAAGCCTTGCCTTTTTGCAGGTTCTGTTCAGTCCAAAATTTACGAATATTTAATACTAGCTGTTTCACGCGGTTTTGTTCTCGTGAATCAGTATATAAAATGCCCTTTGTGTTAAGTTAGGATACAATCTACCCGTGTACCAAATGTATTGAAATTCTTACAAAATACTTAACAATTTTTTACATTTGTCATATCAGCAGGATCCTCACAACTTTGAATTTTAGATGTAATCATAGTCGATTCCAAGGTGGAAGGAGCGATTTATTGTATCTAGGATTAATATATATATATATATATATATATATGTATATTTTTATGTGCAATAAATCTTTATTATTATTATTATATTTTTTTTAATAAATGATAAAGGAATGGTTACCCCACTTGCGCTATCGGGATACGCTGACGGGGCACCAGTGAAGGATGATAGGTGAGGATGAAGCAGGTCAGTTGGTCCATCGTGACGAATTCAACAAGAATTGTTCACGATGGTTTCCAAGGGGAACCACGTGGAGGTTGACCTAATAGGGCATATTGCTAGCAATAGGGTTGTCAAACTCTATTGCTAATAATCCCTTTCCCCCCTTATTTTGTATGTTAACAGTAGATTATCAAGGAGGTAGTAGAAGTTAGAATTAAATAGGAATATTTGAATTTGGAATCAATATAACAAAGCTAGGCTAACGCTCACTTCGTTCCTGTGACATATTTTATACAACATTGGGCAATGTATAAAATTTAAGTATAGTTTATCTTTATCTACATGTTTCAGTTTACACTTTTTTGAAACAACAATAGCAGCTATTCAAGGATTCAAGTTTGGTTTAAGTTTTTGGAACTTACAGACTAGCCAAGTTATGTGTATAAGTTCAATAAATAATTCTATTTTCTATAATAACCTGTACACTTTAGAGAAAACCATAGTTAAGACACTAACCTGGTAATTATAAATGGTGTTAATAATATTTGCATCCAGCGAGAATGCCTGAAGGTTTTGTTGCCATAGGTTAGCTGGTGAGAGGAGTAAGCAACTATATTCTGGCAACACGCGTTCCACACTGGCTTTACTGTCTTGTCTCTTGATATCTTCTATTTGATAGCAGTGTTGTAATAATGTAGTCTTGCTGCGAAACAATAATATATATGTGCTACAAGTGTATAGTACATACATCTAGATGTTGACATTTTATACTTATTCCAGTGACATTATAAATTAGTTGTAAGTCATTGCTTTAATTATTTAATTAATAATTTTAAATATATTAATTAAGTTCTAGATTACATTTTATCTGTGTAACAAATTTTATTTAAATCTGTTCGTTCAAAAATACTATATAATATATTATTACATATAGTGGAATAAGTATGTTTGTAAACACAATGTTGATTATTTATTGAAGCGTTAATCTATTGATAGAAAGTTGAATTAACTTTGTTACATAGAAAACTATCTCATAAATCAAGCCATATGATACTATTAATCTTTATTTAAGAGTGCAAAACCACGGGTCACAGCTAGTTGTTACTGAGGTATAACTGTCTTTCTTAACCTAATTCATTTAATGATAAATAATGTACACATTACAAGAAAGAGATATTTGTTTGCAGTGGGTATAACGACGATAATTTAAAACAAACTATCAAATGAAAATTGTTGTCATAATGATAGCAATAGACAACATTTTGTACTCATAATATATTTCATATATATAGTAGAGTTTTGCCATTGTTATACCATGTATACCCCTGAAAAATGTATCGTATAAACCAGGTTTGCTTGATTTGGATGGTAGCATTGCAATTAGAGAGCTAGTTGTTTTTATAATTTAATATATTTAATAACATTGGCATGATTTTTAACTAAATAGTAGTATAGAAAAAAGCAAAAGTGACACATGAGTGTGTGTGTGTGTGTGCGAGTGCGTGCGTGCGGGGGTGCGTGCTTGCGATATTGTTAGCCATTGAGTTACATGAATGAAATGAATAAATATTGATATTAATACATAATTAAATGAACATAAAAAAACTTGTATAATAATATGACTATGGATATAATAATATAATATGATTATGGTACATATATAATATATATTAATTTTCAAATTCGCTCTGATTAATGAAATGCTTCACAATAAAAATATAAGAATAATATATAGGCTTATTAATTACGAATACTTTAAGCACGGATTACTTGAAGAATTTAATTTGGAATATCATCACTGAATTAATCTTACACGATTCAGTTTGCCTGTTTTTTGGAAAAATCAAATATTTTTATGTGATACCATCACTTTAATTATTATAAACAATACAATATAAACAGAAATAAAACATACATTACATAAATAAATTAAATACTCGTTTGAGCTTTCAGTACAATAAATTTTACATTCGCCATTGCAATATGTTAAATTTACATAAAATAAAAAGTACTAATAACTGTAGAACTTATAAAAAGTTCATTTAATAAATGATAAATTAATTAGAAAAAAAAAAATGGTAGTATAGCAATGTCCTCGAGTGTATTATTTTTCATGTAGAACATTTCACGTCTTACATTCTAAGAAACATTGTCATATAACATAATAGTGAATTTAACCTATAACACAAAGGTCGAAGTCAGATAAGGATACTTGTTGGATAAAATCTTGCAATGTTTATTTATATACACATAATAGTGTCCACTTACGTTTCGACGTCTTCATGGTTTCTTATTGTTTCAAGTAACCGAAATACTTCTTGTAATGGAGCTCTAAATGCATCCCATAATTTTAAATTGTTGTTCCATGGTGACACACCTATAAACAAAATCGAATAATTAAAATTAAAACAAAAAAAATCATCATTTTATTATGTCTAAGAAATGTTAATGATATCTGATATTGATTATGAAGCAAATTTAGACAGTGGAAAAAGATAATCTCATCTGATAAGATATAATTATTATCTTTTGCTGGAGTCAAATTGTTAAATAAATTAACAGTTTTGACTCCTGGTTATTGACAGGAGGAATAATATAACGGCATTAACAAAATGCTATGGGAAAAGTCCCATTCATTTGGATAGCAATAATATAAAATTTTGCTTATTTGAGTTAGGTTCCAGAAATAATTGATATAAACCATGTTTCAAATTCCCAAGATTTAATTGTGTATCATTACCTATTTTCATGATAATCTGTTGCACATAAAGCAGCGGTTTATCTTTTGCCCAAATATATGGTAGTCTCTGTGTTTCGTTTAATAATATATCCAAATGCAGTGGAGCATCTGAAAAAAAAGAGGCCTTAAATACATATTATTAACTATATGCCTGACTTCAAACTGTTTCTTACAAAATACAGCCCATTTTACACAATTTCAATCTAAGATAGAAAGCCATTATAAATAATGGCTTTCTATCAGTGACTGATATTTTAAAATGGATTGAGTATTTTTTTTTTTTAAATTAAATAAAAAATATTCCCTTTTTTTGTTATTTTAATTTTTTAAAAGAGATATCTAAGAAAGAGCTTATAAAGATATATATATATATATATATATATATATATATATATATATATATATATATATATATATTAGCTCTAAAAATATTAATTTAGACTTACAATATTAAAAGTAATATTCCCTACAAAGTATAAAAAGATTTTTTTTATGCAACTTAGAATGGCAAACAAGCTGATGGCCCACAAGATGGAAAGCGGTAACTGTTGTCTATAAACATAAGCAGTACTATGTATATAACAGAGTATACTCTTTCACCCATAATACTCCCCATGAGTTGCCATTCCTAAGAACTTAGGTGTTATTCCTCTATACCCTGCAAATTCACTACCATATCCTACCCTTAAAACCGAAACACAGCCATGCAAACACAATTGCTTCACAGTTGAAACATAAACGGTTCAGAGGTGCCTAAAGAAAACAACTTTTGTGCAAAGTCTCTCTCTGGTAAAAAAATTAACAAAATGTATCTGTCATAAAACTTTTAAATGATCACTGTTGTTTCGATAATACATAGTTAACTGATTCTAATTATGATTATCTATTTATTTGAGTGCACTTATATTTTGACCCTGTAGCAAGACCATGTCAATCACAACAAATGCAGGAATGACTTAAGGACAAAATGGGCTAGAAGCTATCAATTCTATAGTACAGGTGAATTTGGAGCGAGTTGTGGTAGTCATTCCTGATGCAAATAAACATTGAATAAAGATAGTAAACAGAATGCGTCAATGCATACAGTTTATATATAATGCATATAATTTTGTTTCAGAGATGGGCATAAATGACTATTATGTATTGAAAATATAGTTTTTACTAAATACTATATTTATAAACCGAACTTGTTACTGCTATTTTAGCTTCTAAATTCTTTCCCTCTAAAAATTCTTTAAACACATACATTGTTATTTACATTATAACTTTGACTGTTGCAACTAGGTCAAAATGCACTAAATTCAAATAAGTAAATAATTTAGGTAACAGCATGTTACGCATGTATATTATTGTTAATCTACAAATGTTATTATAAATAGTAGTAATGATTATTATTATACACTAAGTTCCTTATCCACTAAAACAAAATCTTCCTACAAATTCATTAATTAATTAGTTTTTGAAAATAAATTTTGAATTAAAAATATATTTAAAGAAAAAAGATAACACATTTTAATAGGTAAAATAGGTTTATTGGACAATTGATATTTTTGTAAATAAAGAGTAGTAAGACATTTTATACTGATTCTGTTTTAATAGTTTGGACGCATCTTACCTTGTAAACAACTATTTGAAGACCAGTCCCTATGTGGCATGCCATGTGTTTGATCAATGTGTAATGGCATATTTATTATTGTTGGTATATTCCCTGGCAGCGGGACATTGAGTAATGGGTAGCTGTAAGTTATAAATAATCAATAGGTATACAAAGATAATTTAGTATTTAGTAAAAGTAAGAATTGTGGTACTTACCTACATAACAAGACGGTTGACAGAGCTAATGCGATTACGATAAAAGGGTATGATGAGCAGAATAAACCATACGTGTAATATATCTGAGCTACCCTTTCTGGAAGAGTAGATCCAGCCATTGTCCAATGCTAGATAGTTAGAAAATAGTTCGTGAAAATGCGTTTGTTAGAAATAAGTAACATTTGCACGAGTAATCACATCACTTCCATTAGTTGTTCTGTGCAGTTAAGCGTTTAGAGTTCCATTTATCACGGTTGATCGCATGTCCCAATGCAATAAAAACGATTACTTGAATATTTTGCATCATGCATGGACATGCCGCTTATTCACTATGCAAGTACCTATTACATCAACCACGCAATTTTGACAACAAAAGGGTTGCCAGATGTGAATTAAAAATTTTCCCAAACGTGAAATATTTTTTCTCCAAATCGATACGTCTTTTAAGATTTTTACCTAATTATAAACTTGTATTGTTTTCACTACGTTATGCAATGTGCTACAAAGTGACGAAAAAAGAGGAAAATATTATCTGTATTTTGTTTTTATTTCTCCTACTTTTATTTCATTATCTATTATATAACTTTAGTAGTATTTTATTATAATTATATATTTTATTTTTTTACTTTTTTGTATACTAAGAAGGTAACAATGAAGTATACAGCTCGACTGAAGATAAACGTTTACTGTAGTCTAACGAAATCAGTAACATTAGGGGAGTTATGTCTGTCGACCCTGAACAAATCTTAATATACCCTTCTTGAAAACCTCATACTGTAGTCTATAGAAAAAACTTCAACGGGAAGCTTGCTTCATTTCAATTCACAGCTTGAGCGTTATTACAATGTACGTGACTATTACAGTTCTAGCGTGTGAGGATGAATTTCCTGCCAGTTATATTACTGTATATAGTTTACAAGTACTAAAACTATTACCCAAAATTTTTATAACAGAAATTTTTTACCTATAATTGTGAAAAAAACCCAATCTGGTAATTCTGGATGACACTCATGTCTGATCTGTCAACTCTACTGACATTTGTGATTAAGGGTTGCCAGAGGCACTTATTTATTTTTACCCAAATATTAAAACAATTTTTTACCATATGATAATATTACGTAGATTTTACCCAGTTATAGTTTCTTGTGTCGGTTTTATTACGTTTTGATACGTATCGCACTATTCGAAGGAGAAAAGAATTTCAACTTCATTGATATATTTTATTAAATTTATATATTTACTGTTATACATAAACAAATACTAAAACAGTAAAAAAACTAATCAAACTTTTCATGCTCATTTTATTTTTCTCCAAAAATTTTTTCACCAATTTAATTTTTCCATTAAGCTAACATTTATCCACAAAATTGCGAAAAAATATCCTAGCTGGCAATGCAATTTGTGACGTTTACGACATTAACCATTATAAAAATAAACACATCTGTGACATTTTTTTTGACGTTTTGCTATAGATTAAGAATAGCTTTTTATTATAGTAGGAGATACCTATTATCTTTGTCTTCTACGCATTTTGCGACTTGTGAATTTTTTATCAAATATTGATAATAGCTGTTTGGATACTCCTGAGATACATACACAAGATTTGGCTTTAACGCCATGTAACGCTAAGTTTACTTTATAAAATTTCGTTTAAAAATAAACATCAATAAAACAATATGTATTGTAATACATTGTTTACTGAAAAATTACAAATACTTGTTCTAATATTTATTCTACGATAAAAGGTTTAGGTTTGGCTTTAAGAACCTACCACACATGGGTACCGTACCGTATGTGGCTAGTAAGGTCCGATCACAGATTATAGATACTATGTCTATTCACACTAAAGTATCGGTCTCGCTCCGTTTTTGTCTTAGTCTGGTAAAAGTAAAAATCTGTCATAATTGATTTAGTACCAATAGCGAAATACAAAGGGAAAGTATTTAAAAACAAGGAAAATTAACAAGATTTTTTTTTATATTTTGTAGATGACTGAGTTTTTTGACAAAAAACAATACCTATATCATAATTGAATGAAAAAAAATATTAAACACACTAACTTCACTTAAAAATTAGAAAATACAAATAATTGTAGGGTGGAATTAAATATTGTTTAATATATATAATGCATTGGATTATTTATTATTATATTATGTACATACATTATTTTTTCATTTTGATTTGATATTTTCTCTTTAAAATTATTATCATTAAAATAAAGTAGTTACAAATCGTATAAACCTTTAGTTACTTCAATAAGTAATAAATATCAAAAAATATTTTATAAAAATGATAATAATTATAAATGTATTGTAAATGTAAATTTATTTTATTCTCACCTGTAATAAAATTCCGTTAAGTAATTCTGTTTTTATACTGTTTATTCTATAAATCATTCATTTAATACTTAAATATCATACTTTTTAGGACAGCGATTTGAAATTTACATTTTGCATAACCATATCATATCTGATTGTATCTTTTCAAAATTTGCCTATGTACTTACATATGGTCTACTAATAATTAGTTTATCAAAAATTTTAATAGTTATTAGTAGTTTTCCAGAAAATTATTATCTATATAATATATTAGGTTCAATATTTACATCGAAACAGACTCTTTCGATTGTTTACTAGAAAACGTATATGCTAAAATTTATCTAATCTGTCGCATCTGATAGCTTACGTAGCACTAATTTAATCAATAATTCATCGAAAATACACATTCAGTAATTTTGTTCCAACAATGTTTCTAGTTACCATTATTTTATAATAAATTGAAGTAGAAATATTGTAGAGACTGCGGCTGTCAATCTGGCTGCTAAGTATGGTAACTGCTGGCAAAACCCCCCAAAAGGGAGGCTTATATTCAGCAGTGGACAGTTAAAGGCTAATATGATGATGATGATAAACACAAGCAAACACAAAAATCGAAAATGAGTAGCGATATTATATAGCTACTAAGCAACTCACTATATCATATAGATTTGTAATTATGACAAAACTTATGATTGTAGAATGTTATAAGAAATTATTTAAATATGAATAGATGAAAAAGTGAAACATAATTTGTGTATTAATTTTAGTATTTTGAGAATAAATTTAAACAAAAATTGTAAGATAAGCGGGGAATGCTTAGAATGTGACTTTTAGTTATATCGTAAGAAGTTAAAATCGTTTCAAAGAGGTATGTTAGGCATTATATATATTAAGTATATATATCAGTGAATGGTCATATGAGCTTGTATGATAGTGTAAGATGCAGTGGAAACTGTGTTTCGGTGTAAGCCGTGTTTCGGTTTATGAAATCGAAACATGGCTTACACCGAAACACACTGGCAACACGTACTAATTAAAAATCTACGTCTTCAATGTTTGAAATATTTTGGATAAAAAGATGTGGTGTAGTACGTAGTTGAACAAGTTGTCTTAGGTATACTCGGTGGCTACAAATGCGCCCCCGAGAGCTATAAATTTAAGGGAAATCGCTTTGCCTGCCTCAGTCCCGTCCAGAGGCCAGACAAGTCAGGGAGAGTTCGTCGCAAGATAAGGTGGTAGAGGAGTTAACGAACGGAAGATCGCGTAGTCCCTTTTCGGTGTTGAGCAGCCTAGGGCCCTCTAGGGCCTCTCTCTTCTCTTCATTTATCTTTTTATTCTGCTCACAGAGAGCAGAGTAAAAAGATAGATAAGATAGATAGATTGCAAGCCCCTATTCAATAAAATGAGAGGCTTCTGAGAGAGTGTGAGTTTGATCCTGACTCAGACTACCTGGGGCATGCTACCCAGATAGAAGAACAAACCTACAGGTTCACGGCTACGGAGTAAGTCCCCGCAGCGGTCCAGGCAGTCGAGGTTATATGAACCACGATTGTAAGGGGCAAGTGAGTAAAACGCAATGCGCAAAAGGAGCAGAGACCGGCAGGTGCTAGCTAAAGGCCAGGTACGAAACTCACACCATCTAAAAAGCTATCGCCGTCTAAGTTACTGCCACTCAGTTCTGCTGCACACCTTCGGAATCGAGAGAGTGGGGATATAGACGGCGGCCACTGGTGGCAGTGTAAAGAAAAGGCGGATATTTTGGCGTAAAAAATTTGGTGTGGTGGGTATCGGCGCGAACGCAGCTACTTCGTACTACTAGTAAAGACCGTTGCGCTGCTTTCGCTGCCTTGTGACGAAGGTGGATACGTGCGAGTAACATATTCGCACGAGAAAGACCGTAGCGATGTATGTTATCGCTGCGGTATCGTAGGGCACAAGGCAGTGGAATGTCCCACTAACTCCTCCTCCTTGTGGTATGTGCCGCTGCGGGCCGACGATTAAGGCGACTGGCCGCCGATTGCCAAAGGACCGGGGTGTTGACCATGGGGGCGGTCCCACCCTACACAATATTAGGCCAGCACCGACAAATGTGCCAAAGCCGCGGGGGTTTCTGAAGCGTTATAATGGAATCAAGGATCCCCAGCACGCGGCGCGACGAGGGACACCGTGGTGGTTTTAGTCGGTAGGAGATTGGCAGTACCCATACACCTCCCCCGGGGTGTAAGGGTCTGTATGCATGCATGCAGATGCATTTCTCCGCGATAAAAAAAAGGGATATATACTCATCGCCAACTTCGGGCGTAGTGTTCTTAATTATAATATATTTTAGCCTTAATCATATTCATATTAAGATCTACTTGTTAAGCACTATTGAGGCAATTGCGAATAGTATTCAAGTCCTCCAGGGATTTCGCCATGATTACTATATCATCGGCAAATCGAAGGCGAGTAATATATTCGCCACTGATGTTTATACCTACTATATTTTTTTTAGTCCAGTAGTTTGAAAACTTCTTCCAATGCTGCTGTGAAAGCAGAGTACTACTCGTCACTACTACAGTCGTACTCCCACGATAGTGGTAGTTTTGTTCTAATTACGTACCAGTCAAAACCGCATGTATGACGAAATTTTACTTTCCATTCTAAACAATGGTTTGACCGGTAAGTATACCTTAAGGTAAGTGTACCTTATAAGCCGTTATATTTTTATAATTTTGAGTACGTAGGCTAAAAATGTACCCTTTAAAAAGTTCATAAACATAAAAAATATTTTGTGTTTTTTCAGTTTCGATACTATACCTCGAAACGGTTAACTAATGCAAAGTTTTTTTTGTAAATCCAATTATTCTATTAATATTTTAAAAAGTTTATAAAGATATTTGGATGTTTAGATATTAGAATGCTTAATTGTTCGTTTGTTCCTTAACCTGTTTAAAGGGCTGAACGGATTTAAGTGAAATATGCTACAGGGTATTTTTTCTTATTGGATGATAAAGGTATGGTAACCCCGCCAGCGCTATCGGT